CTCTAACCTGGAATTTTTTTTTTTTAATCTAGATTGTTGTAAATTCTGCATCAATAAGACTTTCATGTTTAAAAATATATGTAGAGCTCTCCATTTAAATGCTTATGTGGGAAAAAAAAGGGTTGTATTGAGTGATTTGTAGGTCAAACGTGAGCCAAAAGAAATGAGCCGGCTCTTAGTCATCTCATGGTTTACGGCCATAGGCGTAATTTATGGGGGGGATGGGTGGGATGCAACCCACCCAATAATCCAAACCAGCCACCACAACCCACCCAATATGATATCATAATTACTGATAATGAATGTTAAGTATTATAAACACGACAATGTGGTAGATTATCTCAATTTAGCAGTAAAAAATAGTGACGTTTGTCTGCGCCCCTCCCGCTCTGAGATTTAGTTTTGCCCACCTCAGACCTGTGCGTCCCTCCCTCCTCTCTCTTTATATGTCAGTGGTCCCTCCCTCCTCTCTCTTTGTATGTCCATGGTAGGTATGGTATGCTCTGACAAGGCACAATTTAAATACAAAATTCAAAAAAGCAACATCGACATGATATCCTTCTCATTATTTCCTGTCATGTTCACAAAACACTCCCCAGTGGTTTCTGACAATAAATAGAATCCAATGAATTTCTCATGAAGAATTAAAATGATCAACATATCTGAGACACCCTGTAAAAAGCTGGGACAGGACAAGCCAACTTGAGTAATAATTATATATATATATATATAATTATATTATACACACACACATATTATTACTGAACACACAATTACTAAATTTTTTGCTGTACAATGTGTATGTGTGTGTGTATCAGGTGGAAGGTGAAAGTAGCAGCAAAAGCAGGGAAGACAGAAGGATCAGAGAGAGAGAGAAGGCACAGGTGACCAGGTAATAAGGTCAAATAGTTAAAATGTTGTTGTTAAGCAGCTAAAAACATACAGTTTTAATTATCCATAGGTGTGATCGTGTGATTTTCCTCACAGAGAGAGACAGGCTGAGAGCAGCATTCCAGTCTGTGGAGAGGTTTCAGATGAGCAGGTAAAAATGGTCATGCTCTGACAAGGCACACAATTATGAATTAAAAAATTCAAGACACTAATATCACATGATTTCTTAGTGGGTATTTCTGAAGTACTGTATATACAGTATATTCAGTGTATATACGCGCACGTGTGTGTGTGTGTGTGTGTGTGTGTGTGTGTGTGTGTGTGTGTGTGTGTGTGTGTGTGTGTGTGTGTGTGTGTGTGTAAAGATTTTCTCATGCAGGGCATGTCCTCAGACCTGCTTCACAGGCGGAAATCTCAACCCCCCCAATGTTCAACTCAAAGTTACGCCCTTGCTTACGGCTAACACTTGAGGCTACATTAGCTGCAGCTAGCATAGCACACCTTAATCTCCAAAGAAAAACTGTCTGCAGTCAGGAGTTGGTTATGTAATGTAGGTGCTGGGTCCTGACAACTTGTATTAGTTGATACTTGAAGCAAGCAGTTATCTTTCCAGCATGTAGACAGTTTCAGATTTATGATGTATTTTTTAGTGTTGTGGTGAAATGCCATTGACTGCTGCTGGAGGTAGAAGGCTAAACAGATCTCAAAAACTAGATATATAATTGTATAAAGGTGAAAAGCCCCGAAGTACCCAAAAATAAAGGTAAACAACTTATATCAACTGTCTACCACAAGGAGTCAGGGTGGAGTATCTCACCCAGTGCACTTCTATACATTCTCCTGACCAGCTCCGAGGTGACTTCTGACCCTCTTTCTCCTCCTGCACTGACCTCAAAGCCAGACGGAGGACAGTAAATCCTCCCTGTGAGCAGTCTGACAACTGGCTGACTGACTGGAGGAGTGTTGATCATTCAGTGGTCTGTGTATGATTTATGCAGTAAAAACCCAATATGAATAAATAATGTCTAAATGAGGCTGTTAATAAATACTGCACATTGCATCATCTAGAGTGTCTCTAAAATAAATACCATTAAAAACCAGTCACCAGTAGAATGGTGAGTTTAACAATGGTTACATCTCCTGCTAAGACTTTCCAAGTTACAAATAATGGATGTACCTCATTCCTGTATACAACATCCCATCATAACGTAAAGGTAAAACGATCAGACAGTACTTGTTGCATTCAAGTCTTCACGTTTTCCATGCCTATTCCACACAAGGGCAGAAACCTATCTATGGGGCAGCAGTAGCTCAGTCTGTAGGGACTTGGGTTGGAACTGGAGAGTCGCCGGTTCAAGTCTCGGTGCGGACCAAATCTGGAAGTTGGTCTGGTATTTGGAGAGGTGCCTGAGCACTGCCGAGGTGCCCTTGAGCAAGGCACCAAACCCCCTCCCCACCACCAGCTCAGCCCGCTGTGGGCACCTCCCTCACTCTATCATCTCTCCATTAGTGCATGTCCATAGGATCCTGTTTGTGCATGTGTGTGTTCATGACTTAAAGAGTGTAAAAACAGAATTTCCCCTTGCGGGATCAATAAAAGTAAATCTTTCTCTTAATGTGCTACTCCTGATGGGTAATAACACAAATATAAATACAAATCGTTAAAGACAGTCACACTAGTGACAAAGATATCTGAAGCTATTCATCTAGAATAGGCCTGCAGGATATTAGAAAAATATTCAATGTGCGTTAACATTGGGCTGTATTGCGATAACGATATGAATTGTGATAAAAACAAAAATTAACAGTTCAGAACACTGCTAAATCCAGAAAAAAATCCAAAGAACTGTATGTTCCTAAATCGTCCGTAATTAATCAGAGAGTAGCTGATGGTTAGCTTTAGCTTCATCCGACTGCATAAAAATGGTGTGAAAGCATGAACATTATACACAAGCCTCTGTACAATTGGTCAAATACACATGCTGTGGGAGAAAGCAAAGCTTTACTTTATTAAGTGTTTTTTTATTGAGATAAATCCAGACTTTTGCAATGTGTTTACACCCATTTTTATCATAAGGCCTTCTAATAATCCTGTTTCATCCATTATGTTTTATTTTTTGTATTTGTTTTACTGTTAACTCTAGTCAATCTTTGGCTCGGTTGTTTCTCTTCTCTGTTAATTAGATGATTGCTGCATTTTTGTTCTATTTTTCATGCTTTTTAATAGGATTTTATTGTTCTGTATTTGACTGTTGGCATTCTTATATTCTGTAAAGCACTTTGTGACGTTGGTTTTGATAAGTGCTTTATAAATAAACTTTATGATTATTATTATTATTTATTGCAAATGCTCAAATCTCTATTAAATTGGGATTAATTGCCCAGCCCTAATCCAGATGTTGTTTCAGATACAGTAATACATGGATTTAAGACAGGAACTATCTCTTAAAGGAAGACATATGTGATTTTTTGATCCAGCAGATGTCGCCCTTGAGCACCAGCATGAAACCAAAACAACTGGAGCTGCATTGTTGTGTTAGCATGCTAATGCTAGTGCTCTTTGGTTTGCTCGTATCTTCACACTGCATGTAAATTTACCTGAAATGAGCGTGATCTAAAAACGCTTTTTCAAATAAGCGCTGAGTACAGTATGTTATTCTTCTTTTCTCTAGTCCCTCAATTGAACAACCTTTATACGTGTTGGCCGTCCCGTCCATGTAAACACCCTGTAGATATGGCTCATGACAGGCAGCGGGACTCGGGTGTCACACTCATTGTAGACAGTCATGACTCAGAGTCACAGAGTTATTTTAAAATAATTTATGCCATATTTATGTGTAAAATGTCACATATTCAGCCTTTAATGTTTCAGAAAACCAAGTTGTGTTTCTTGTATTCCAAAATGGCAGATACAGTGTACTTTAGCATATGTCAAGCTGGTGGTGAAAATATTTAATAAATCTCAGAACGGTGGGATTGAATCCATTTTTAGAGGAGCTGGATCAGAACCAGCAGATTACAGCTGACAAGAACTGTGCATAGTCCACTTCTGACACCCCTCTCGAACATCCTCATCAAAGTACAGTCAGTGATTTTATAGCAGGGAGTTAGTCAGTCAGCAGAGCTCACAACAAAGGCTCAGCCTCACCCACGGGTGCTGACACAGCCTGGCCTGGCCTTCTCGTGAAGAGAGGAAGAGCGGTACAGGATGTGGATGCAGACCTATTGTAGGTGTTAAAGTTATCCAAACTTCCTCTTATTCCGGCAGCAGCATTCTAAAACAAACGCATCAAAGACATATTGTTGCTAAAACTGGTACATTGAAAATTTGTACTTAAGAAAAACAAAGCGTCTCCATTCTGACTGTTTGAGAGATCCGACAAGAATACACGTGTTACAACCTTTCACTGTTTGTATCAATGACCGACATCGTTTTACAACCACGTCTTCATCATTTAGACCAGACGTGGGGGTTTTCCTGCCTAATGCACCCAAACTGGCTTCAGTAATGGAAGCTCTATTTTAATTATTCTTCAAACACATTTTTACAATTCATGTTAATGCAGTTTCTTTTTGAATATCTGCCAACATGTCTCCAGTGTCTTTGTGACAAATCAATATTGGGTTATAATAAAAAGCTGCTGAGTCAGGCTTTACTGCAACAAGGTATTTTAACAAGGTACCATATATAACACTGTTTAATAATTACAGTTATATAATATTATATCCCTACTGATCCAAGTCTTGTCACATGATACTGTAGAGGTGGTACAGATTATAACATATAATAAAGGATGAAGACTTGGCATTTCTGATAAACCTACAGTATGTCTCTGGTTCACTGCTGCAGTCAGTTTGGTGTGAGGCCTTCACTGACCATGACTTGTGTTATTGTGTCCCAACACTTGGCCTTGAGCAATCAGCACATCCCAGCAGTGGCACGGCTAACCTGCAGTGTAAATAAATAATGTGTTTCCAGTATGTGAAAGGATCCCAGCCTATTGTTTGAGAAAAGTGAACCACACCTCACACTTTGAAAACGAATGTCTCTGTTTTGCTACAGTATCCTTGCCCTTAATGTATGTGTCTGTATGTAAGCATATCCTGTCAAGCTGGCAAAACTCATTAGCAGTCTGCAGGGGATATAAGAAGCTTACTGTATGTATACATACATACATAAGGTTTTGTGTTTGGTTTCCTTTTTGCTTACAGTATCACTTACTGTACAAGGTTAACAGTTCCTCAGTGACCAAGCCTCTGAAGTTTTTTTAGACCAGGCAAAGCAGCTTAGGATGTTTAGTGGAGCAGCAATAGAGAATTGCATCACACTGTTAACAGTAGGGTGAACCACCAACAAATTTGACAAATATGCTTAGGGTTAAGGACTAAGCCAATTGTGAAGTTATGCAATGCTTTAATTTGTATTTTAGGCTAGAATTTAAGGATTAAAACAGAAGAATTAGACTTAAATGATTACAGAAATAGTGATACTATACAAATGTAGACATTATAAACTCAACACAAATATGAGAATAAATAAGAACAAACAGTAAAGTACAAATTTGTGCCCAGATATTTGGCAAACTGTGCTCTCTACCAGCTGAAAAGTTCTTCCCAGAATGTAAGCAAGGACATTCTAACAGAGGACAATGGTTGAGATGTAAAGTGTTGTACGAGTTGTCTTTTTTAATGAGGAGATGAGGTAACACCACGTATAGTGAATCATACTCTGTTCATGACTGTTGATATTCAAAGAGAGTGACAGTCTTGTTCTGACTACAGCTGGACACAACAGCAACTGATGCGTGTGTGAAACACGTTTTAAAATATGCTCCCCGTTATCCCCTTTCGAGTTTTTCTCAGAAATCGTACGATTGCTCACAACAGCCAACTGCCTCTGTGGACAATGGCTTAAAATACCTTAATAAATGGAATCATAGACGAGAACTGTTTCATTAGCTTTCTCTGGTTTCAGGTCATGAGTCTGTTGCACACAATTCCGTTCAAGCAGCAACCTTCAGTGTTGAAAAATTAAGATAATGCAGAAGCGCCAAGAAATGCAGTTTCTCAAGTGTCCACTTGAAGCTGGCTCCAAAAGCTCAGGAAGTCCCATTATCACCCATATTAACATACCTACTGTAACAGCAGAAATAAACGTGTTCTTACAGCCTGATAGAAACAAACGCTTTCGGTCTGAATTGGTGAACACTTAGTCGTTTTGCTAAAGCTAAAAGTTCTGCATACTTTGGCCATGACACGGTGACTGACAGGTGGAGATGTTGTAGGCGTGTGCCAGAAGGGTTAAGGATGCTTTGTTTCAAGCTTGCTAGTGGTCAAAGTCACTGTGTCCCTCTCACTCTGGCTCGGCCTGATCCTAAAACACAATGCAGTTGAATAATGTTGTGCTGCTTTTAAACTCCTGCTTCACTGCAGTAAATGTGAAGACTTCTAACACGGGAGGTCAGTTTTCAGTTTTTGTGATACAGCGAGAAACATGTGCACAATGCATAGCGGTGTGAAAGAAGCACTCAGTTTTTGACGTCATCCTACCTGCGATGCGGAATACAGCCCGCTCTGCTGGATCCAGGACCTCCCCTGACGCCGACTTGGAGCGTTTCACCCTCTGGTGTTTGGACAGGTTCCAGGGAAGGGTGTCTCCTGGGCAAGGGGAGCTGCTCCTCTCTCCATAGCTCTCCTCCACGGGGGGTCGATCCCTGCGTCTGTCTTTGCGGTTCGCCATCACCTACCTACCAGAGAGGATTTAAAAACAGAGTTTAAGAAATGTAGTATGAATAAGTGAACAGTAAAAAATACAATGAATTTCTAAAGCACCTTTAAAGGGACCCAATGAATACATGCACAACAAACACCAAACCAAACTTTCTGAATAAAAGGAGCAACACAGCACCACCTCAAACTTCAAATCTACAGTATGATATTAAAATGATTACCTTTGTAAACATCACCTTATTGGCTGTATATAATTTGGTATTCTGAGTTTAAAACTGTTTATTAGAAGTCATGCAATACAAAGCATGATTATTTCCTGGTTAATATACTGGGCCATGCACCAGGCTAATCATTAAACCCCTGACTCATTATTCTGAAAGCACAAAGAACCAAGAGCTTATTAAACCAGATACACCAGAGCTGAACAAAACAGTGAGCACTGTGTCAGGCTTTCTCCTTTGCTGTGAGCTGACTCTTTAAATGTTTAACTGCCACAGATGTATGGGAAGATAAAACTCAAAATACTTAGTGTTAGAGTGCCATAAAATGCAAATTGGATCTCCAGACACATAGTGGCCTGTGGACATGCCTGCAGGGATAGTTCTCCATATCCATGATAACAGCATATATGGACCTTCACCTGTTTATATGCAAAAAGCCTCATGTGACATTACCCATACATGGCTTCATTTGCTCTGCTTATGTGGACTTCCATCAGCAAAGGAGGAAAAAGTCAACCAAAACACGTAAAGGAAAATGAAACTAAAAGACGTCATCTTTTTAATCTCAGTCTTCCTCCTACATGGTTGCCTACATAACCCAAAATGCACCTTGACCACCACTCAGTTGAAAGTTTGGGTGGGTGTGTGTTTGGAAGGGGCGGCTGAGGATCAGGGGGTAGAGTGGGTCGTCTCTCAATCGGAAGTTTGGGGGTTCGATCCTCCAGCTTCCACAGCATGCAGCCACATGTCTGATGTGTCCTTAAGACACTTAAACCCGAGTTGCTCTCCATGCTTCGTCGGTGGCGTGTGAATGAATAGGAATTGATTAGTTGTACTGATGGACACTTTACATAGCAGCCTCTACCATCAGTGTGTGAATAGGGTAGGTGTGACATGCGGTGTAAAATCACTTTGAGTAATCAGATGTTAAAAGCACTATACAGGTTCAAGTCCATTTAGCATTTATGCTACATGAAGCTAATATGGCTTCAACTTTTGGCCTCAAGGAGAGATGAGCAGCAGCTAGGTCTCGTAAACTCCTTTCTTTCTCACTCCAAAACCCCAGTTTTTGTTTTTTTTCCCAACTTGTTAAGCCCAAACTAAAGCTGAGTCAAGTGTCATCCCTTTAAAAACAGTAAGAGCCCACAAAAAGTGTTCTAGAACTGAAGTTTTTTATTTATTATACAATCCTCTGGACCGGAAAACTTAAAGCTGCATGTAATTGTATGTTTAATGTGCCTAATAGAATGATTATTAAGTTAAGTCAAAGGTAAATTAGGATTTTATGTGTACATCACTGCCCTACACTGAATGACAAAAGTGCAAAACTGCTTTACATGGCATACAATCATTCACTGTTGGATTTGTTTAAATTAGGTGCTGAGTCTCTGACCTTTGCCCTCAGGTTAAATATTTACCCATGTGTGCAGCAAAAGTGAAACATGACAGAGCGGAGAGGAAATCATCTTTCTCACTCATAATAAATGATTATGCAATAACAAACATACAGCACAACCCATGTTATTCCATATGAATGTTGTGAAGGTGTATTGTGTATTATACAAGTAAAAACAAGTGTGAGTAAATAAGTATTAAAAACCAGGCCAAACACAGCCCAGGTTCCAAACATACCTTGGCAATGGAAACAGGCTTAGTGAAAGTAAAACCTACACTAATAAACCTGTATCAGTAAACACATGAGTCATGAGCTGTCTCTTTGTGATTTCCTGATAGGCTCACTCAGGTGACACCTCATGTAACTGTCCGTCAAGTCAAACACAATCACTTCACTTTCTGTCAGCAGAAATAAGTAAAGACAGATTTCAGAGGCCTGCTTTATCTCAACTGCAACAATCATGCCACATGTGTTATGAACTGTATTTGAGTTATCAAATAAAATTCAGTAGGTACATGTTTTGCAAAAATATATAATGACAGTGACACACCCACTTTCACAGATAACGTTGCATTCAAGGACCTGCCCTGTACCAGTAGGTTATACTTACACATGCTTCAGTGTTGTCAAAGCTGAACTGAGCTCAGAGGTCACTTCTTTTTGAAGTTATCATAATAAACATGTAAATACTTTGGCAGTCTAGCTCACATTGGATCATGATGTCATCATGAAAAAATACCAGGTACCTTAGACATAGATAGGAAATAAAATTGTCAGGGCTATTTCAGTCAAGTTATAATTTTTTTTCGCATCAAGAGTTAATGTTTCAGGAGCAAAGGTTGGCACTGCTTACCTTTGACACTTAGTGAACGTCAGAGGTAAAGATACCATCATCACCATCCAATTGCAATGTGTATATTTGCCCTTTTTTCAGAGCATACCTGTGTAATGTTGGGGGTACACATTCAAAACCTTTTAAACAAAACAAAAATATTCCAGAGTCTTCTGGTTGTAGGCTACTGTATTAGCCTACTGACAGTTACACACAGAGAAATGAATGGCCAGTGCTGCTGGGTTACAGTTAAAACCAGCATGGCTCAGAAATTGTGTAATCTCAAAGTCTAAAATCGTATTATTAGCAGTTGGCACCCCCCAAAAAGTGACAACATTGTCATTAGGATCTGTCTTGTGTTGACAGTTGTGGAATTGTCTGTTTGTGCTTAAGTTAATTGTAACAGCAGTGGCAGCTATGGTTGATTAGAGCTGATTAGAGCTTAATCATTAGATTGTATTCAGGACTTTGGTGCAAGTAAAGTATGGATGCTTTTGCTGGGCACCTTAAGGACTGCATGCAGGGACCTGCAATACTAGCCTGATGCACCTGCAGCAAAACTGATCCCAAACGCACTCACACAGGATGACTCATTAAGGCAAGTTAACAATCGACTACACACCATTTTTTCTTCAACTGTGAACCCACACCATGAACACACCCAGCACCACTGAGGACATGTACACTCTTACCTTATTGCTGAGCTGGATCAGTCACGTAGAAAGACTGTCAAACAGCACATGAGTGCATGTGTCGGTGACTCGGTCTGTGTGTCCTGATGCAGGTTATCTCAAACCAAAACCAATGAAGTCGCCCAAAGCCCGTGCGTGTGACAGCAGCGCGTTGCATGTGTGTGGACAGCCACTCCTTTCCTTACAGGAGGCAGGGCAGCTGGAGGAGGTAGGAAAGACGAGCTGCCGTGCACAATCCGCTTTCATCTGGGACGTTTCTGTAGCTCTACTGGCTCTTCATTCTCGCCAAACATTACTCCCTGTCGACACCTCTGAATTTAAAGGTCGCAGAGCGTTCATGCGATACTGTCACCCAAAAGCCGCACAATGCTGCACAGGTTTAACGTTCATTATTGCAGATTAAGACGCAGGCTTCCTTGCCGGAGCAGCTCAGGATGCTGCTGCATCGATCGAGAGCAATTAACGACGTGTTTTCTCCTCCAGCAGCAGGGTGTCATGCTGCGGTGAAACGCTGCAGGACTCACTGTTCGATTAGTTTGCCTGGCTGTCCTGTCCCGGGCTGAGCGCAGTTTGTCTGCAGGCATACAGAAAAGTAAGCTTTTACCATGAGATGATGCTAATTGGGTTATTCGATTGAAAGGGGAGGTGTAATTAGATAACTCGTGACATTTAGCCCACTATGCAATGTTCAAAAAAATACAGTGCTGGAATCCCTAACTTTTAATTAACCAATTTGTCTTATGCAACTTTGTAAAATATGAAAAGGATTAGGCTATGCAAAATGTGAGTTATATGCTAAATGATCTCTCCATGAGACTCACAACAAGGCCAGCATTTTCCATGATCAGCCTTGAGACAATCATCTTGTGTAATGTAAGGAAGTGCTCACCAAGTCAGATTTACTGTTAGGCAGAATGTGTGCGATAGATGATGAAAATCAAGGTCCGATGAAGATTTGTTGGAAAGCATAAATATTATTATCTATCATCCATTAATGGTTCCCAAGAATATTTTTGACTTTTTAATGTCAACGCTTCAACATATTGCATGAACTCAACAATCCGTTCAAACAACCATCAGAAAGGGAATCATTGCAAATTCATTGAACTGGTCACATATGTCCACTCTGAGGCCCAGAGGCTTACAGGTTAGCCGGTGTGGTTATGGTTACATTCAAAAGGCCAAAGGTTGACACCAATGGGTCCAACAGATTTTAAATGCTATCATGTTACAGAATAAGCATCTTGAATGAAATCTTATACCTACTCCGTTCACTTGATTTGCAGTGAAAAAGAGTGAAAAAGGCCCATTAGTGCTGAATATGCTGAATGGAATGTTTTGACATAATCCTCCAGTGCAGAGGTCCACTTAGGGCAACTTCTTACCACAGCCCTACCATAAAAAACAGAGTGCAAACCTCAAAAATGCAACTAAATTGCATGACGTATCAGTTCACCTGAGACAGCATTACTGTAGAGGTGAGGACTTATCCAATAATGTGTCCATGTTTCTGAGTATTTCACTTTTATGCTACTCAATACTTCTACTTGAAAAGTGAATCATTACTCTATGCCCTGTTTATTTAAACAAAAACAAAAAATGATTCAAGTGTGCATGTAAAAGTGTTGAATTGCTGTTTGTCTTTTGAAATGATTGAAATGGGTCATTGTGACATCTAAGGAGGTTCAGACTGTGAAATAGTTCAGATTAATGGATTGGCCTGAATTTCTTGCTAAACCCTGGCTGTGAAGTCGTACTTGCTGAATTTTTTGTTTAAAGGAGGAAATTTGCCAAGAAGAGTCATAATTGCTCTTTCTCATTAGAACTTGAATACAGCTTTACTGTAGGGACCAGGCGGATATAATCTAAACTTGATATGTGGAGTTGATCTCCTGGCGACAGTTTTTTTAAATTATTACATCAGGGTATTTCACACAACAGAGTCAGACTGCAGATTATATTTTTCTGGTAATGTATACATGTGTAGTAAATGTTTATTTTATCATGTTTAGATTTTACATGGAAACACATGATGCATTTATAAATTATACAACTTGGAATCAATTCAGTAATCCTTAACCTTTGAGACGTCTGCAAATATTGTCTAGTTTGTACCGTTGTGTTACATTTCATATGGTCATAAGACCTTTTCCTCACCTGACCTCTGACCTTGTAATAACCTTTCAAGCAAGTGGTGAAAATGTCCAATGATACACAAACAAAAAATGGAGTTTAAAAAAAACTTTTATTTTAAATAGCATTACTTTTGGTCCTTTAAAGGCTTTATATGTGATTTTTTTGATCCAGTAGATGTCGCCCTTGAGCTCCAGCATGAAACCAAAACAACTCGCGCTGCATTGTTGTGTTAGCATGCTAATGCTAGCGATCTTTATTATGCTCGTATCTTCACACTGCATGTAAATTTACCTGAAATGAGCGTGATCTAGAAACACAGTTAAGCAGTGAGTACAGTATGTTATTCTTCTTTTCTCTAGTCCCTCAATTAAACAACTTTTATACACGAGGGGAGGAGTCAGCCGGCCGTCCCGACGATGTAAACAAAGTGAAGATAGGACTCTGAAAACTCTGAAAACATCACAGACAGTGGGACTCGGGTGTTACACCCATTGTAGACAGTCATGACTCACAGAGTTATTTTCAGAGGATATACTTGATTTCTATTATATTTAAGTGTGAAAAATCACATAATAAGCCATTAAAGCAACCAGCCCTTTGTTGGTCTTAAGCTTACTTAAGCCACTATAAGAGTTCAAACATGCAGCACTTCAACCAGCTGATATATTAATTCTACTGTTAATCTAATAATGTCACATTTGCTGATAGTAGTGTCCAGTTATTTTACTTGAGTGGGATTTGGAATGCTTAAATAAGAAATGTAGTGTCTTTCCAACCTTGCTGCTCTTGGGACAGTGTATCCCCTCACCTCTGCATGTCAGTGAAAACTCAATTATTATGTCAATGACAAATGTCTCACTGTTCCCTCACAGTGACATGCGTTCAGCCTGGTGTAGTACATGTAGCAGACATTCACTGATCCGCAAAGGGCACTGGTCCTTTATGGCATGGAATGACAAAGTGCAAAGGACAGATGGCTGATTTAGTGTGTACAATCAACTGTGTATCTCAGAAATGCCTCATTTATAGAATTTATTTATAGATGTAGATACACACATAATGAAACAAATGAGGTGACAAGGGCAGAAGTTTTAACACCACCACAATTACATGTCATCAGTGTAAGATGTCCGACTTGTAAAAAAAGATGACAGCACTCAGACTTAATAAAAAACCTCAGTTCCGATCTCAAAGGATGCACTGCTTAAGACACATTCACCTCTCCCATTGTTAAACAGGGAGGTTAAGCTTGCTTGACAAGCTGAAATTGGTGTGGTGCCAGAAACCGTTGTCACAAATGAAATAATGGCCCACTTTCTAATGCAGCACCAGCACTTACAGTTGTCTGCTGTCTGGGTGTATCAGTGTAAAAGTAGCCAGCTGACACGTTGTGTGAAGATGCAACACGGCAGCATTGAAATGAAGCCAGCCAGATAGCCACATTAAAAGATACAGAGTTAAGCACATCACAGTTGTATAGTATGACCATTACTGTAAGCAGAACATTTCACCCAGATGAAGTCATTAAATCAGTTACACTCACACCTCTGCAATTTTTTTTCATAAGGACCATACTCACCTCCTCTTGGGGTGTAAAGTCAATAAAAACAAATTGCATTATGCGGATGCATTTCGCCTTTTTTGCTTACACACAGACTGTTTTCGTGCTTGCAGCCCACTCAAACCCACACAAACCGATCAGACAATATGGTACACAGACTACAAACCAGAACGCTTTCAACACCAAAACATCTTGTCATTTGCCAAAAGACCAAGCATTCACATGCACAATCTGTACATAGAGATTACACAGATAGAAAGAGCAGATGTCTTGTTTGTACTTGTCAGGCTGGCAGCTTGTATGTTGCTGTTTATGTAGTTTAAAATATGGCTAACAGAGAGAGAGCAGATGTCCACAGGAGCTCGTGGATTGACAATGCCTTTTAAACAAATTGCAGTGCTTGCTGTATTATTAATGTCAGTCTTTTTTTAAATGCAGTGAATTGTTTTATTCATTTGAACTTAAGAAACACGTCTTAAAACCTGTTATTATAAACTTTAGTAATGACCTTTAGAACCTCACACATCATCTTTGTTTTTCTTCAAATGGATCTTTAACGAACATTAAGGCCAAGTACATTTTACATGCGATATAGTAAAAGTAGTTTTTTTACCCCCTGGCAAAAAAATAAATAAATAAATGATAGATGAATCAATAATTAAACAGATACGTAGCAGAGAGATTTAAGAATCTCCCTGTGTGCCTGTGATCCATTTACATTTCCTCACACTCCTGTTTGGGTCTGAAACATTCAGTGCTTGCCAAAACAACAGCAGAACCAAAAGGTTAATGAGGTTTTGCTCTGTAGAGGTTACAGTCTGTGTCCCTGCATTAATCAGTCCTATATTTACTGCTTTGTGGACAAAAGTTGGCAAGCAAAGGACTGACAATTCACTATCCAAAATTATAAAGCCAATGATTTTTAATCAAATGTTTTCTTTTTACATCCGTATACATTCACAGAAAAATGTGTCTTGGATTACTTTTATTGCTTATCTGTTAATGTGAATAATATTGTGGAAGCTGTGTCTTTTCTATGATGCACACAAAGCTCATAGCTCACTAATTACAATAAGATACATTGAAATCTGCACAGCCATGTGTATAATGTTGGATTAAAATTTTTCCATCACACATGTTTGGCATCTCGGAGAAGAAAATAGCCCCAAACATCTGCAAAAATATATCTGCAGTTTGATTTTTCAAGAGTTTATTTACTAATTTAGTTGTCATATTGAATCGTCAAAATCACCTCAATGTTGGACTTTTTTTTAACAATCTTATCATGATTGTTACATATCTACATCGATTAGATTTCAGCCTGATAACTTATACACGGACCCCAAGAACAGCAGTGGTCAGACATCCAACTAAAAAATCTTGGATGTCACCTAAAGTTATAGAAAGAGGTGAGTCATCTACAGTAAGAGAGGGCTACCACCATTTTTAACCATCTGTTTTTACCCACAAATGTGTACAGGTAAATATGCACTCACCAGAAGAAGCAGGACGAATTAAAAGATCAACACTGCCCTCTAGTG